CCTAGAGATAATAAGAGGGGTTCAAAAGTATGTCAGAGTCTTGGGTGATTTGGGAAGAAAGGGTAACGAAAATGTATGTTGAGGTTTTCCTTGCGTCAGCAGCAAAGCAGATGAGAGATGGTTTTTGTCCCATTTTTTTTCCCTGCCTTTTTATTCATTCCCAGATCTGAATTTTGAGTTCTCTGTCTGGATTAATTTATATAGCTATTCTTACATGCTCTCTGGGTTGCATAGTGCATTTTTTTGTTAGTCACTGCAGGAGTTTGGTAATAGTTCCTCTTGAGAAGTTTTGTATATGGTGCAGTGGTATTAGACATATCCTTCACTGAGTATTTTTTAAGTGGTTCTTTTCATCCTTTATGTGAAGGTTTCATTGCATTTAGGCCTCAGCATTATAAAATAGCTATAAGGTTAATTGACTTGAATACTATCTGCTAAGGACATTATTGTGATATTTTGGTTCCCTCTTTAAGGGATTTGGATCCGGTGCCTAATTTCCTCAAATTTCCGGCGAATTTGATTATAAAATAAAATATAAAAATAAGGTAAATGTTTTGACTTGTACATTGCACTTAAGCAATTAAGAAAGATAGGCATTGCATGAGATTAGTTCCCTTTTCGAGTCAAGAAGATTATAACTGGGTTTGGCTTCATGACAAATTAGTTACAGGTAAAATCATGGTTTAAGCGGTTTTTAATATGAAAGTAAACATACTCTAACTCGTAATCCATTTTTAAATGAACTAATCGATGAGTCATCGCTGGGTAACCAATTCAACTCTGCCAATATGGCAATCAAATGAGGAAGCCTAGTAACGTTTTGTTTTTTTTTTAATGACTTATTTATTTGATATATTTTTCCGTTGGGATGCTTAAACCCACTTAGAGCATATCAGACATTTTTTTGAGTTATTAGAAATATGCTGCAGTTTAAGAATCCAAAAATATTACTCGGTTTTAAATAGAAGACTCATTTTATAATATAATTTATATTATAAAATAGGTCTTATATTTAGAACCAGAAGAACTATTTAATATCATTTAACCTCCACATAATCAGATTTTCTTTTCATCTGATTCACCTCATTTTAAATATTCATTCATTAAGCATTAACCATATTCATATTAGATTATTTTAATAATTTAATTATCCTTCCTGTCGGTATATTTTACGAATTAATTTCGAATATACTATTTTCCATCCAATTCATTAAAAGTGGCATCCTCCACCTTCCTCCATTTGAACACGCCACTTGTTCTTATTTCATCAATTCAAGTGGGGTTTTGGGCTTTTAGATCAATTATAGTTTGTTCGAGTCAAAATTTCTCCTTATTCTTTCTATAAATACTCCTTTATGCATATTATTTTGGACAAATTAAATAAAAAGAATCGTTTAGTTTCTTTTTTAATGAGTAGTGCTTGTTTTCTGGAATCTTGAATTAAACATATTGTAGTGTTTTGCATTATCTTTGTGGTGTTATTGTGAAATCTTGTTGGATATCATGAATTTGATTCCACTTTCTCTATGTTTAGTACAACAAGGGGTTAGAAGTGTTTCTTGGGAAAACTCTGAAGAAAAATGGAATTTATGGGTTAAATAAACATGCAACATATTATTAGAAGAGAAAAAAGAATTGTTATAAAAAAAGAAAAAGAAGAAAAAAAAGAATTAAAGACTATGAAGATTTATTTTTGAAAAGTAAAAACAAGAAGAAAAAAATTAGATTGGCTTGTTCTTTATAAAATAAGAATTAAGGTTTAGCTGAATAAAAGGTGTAGTAATTACTCCTTATACAAAGAAGACCACTATCCAGCGAAAATTGACCATCAGGAAAAAAAAGTCAGCTGTTTTTTGGTGGTTGATGTGTTTGACTGTTCATGGAAAAATTGTTGTTCATTTCTTTCAAGAGTTGATCTTTACTTTACATAAGGGAAAATACTTCCAATAAGTTCAGGAAAATAAGATCTTCCATGAAAAAATCTTGTGAAAATTACCAAATTGCTCCAAATACTAACTATTATCAACCATTTTATTGTGTAAAACTCTACTGTGGAAGCATCGTTCATGGCTATTATCTTTTTCTAGAAGATCAAGTTAAAATTAACAGATGCTCATCAGAATCTAATTTTAAAAAAAAACAAATCAAGCAACTAAAAATATATTATAAAAATGTTGAAGCTCTTTATTCTCATTGTTCCTTCATCATCTAGTCATCTCTATGGCCTACCTATTTTACTCAAGGTGATAACGTCATCTGATTTTTATCAGCAGATCAGCAGATTTCACCTTCTAACTATATTAGATGAACATAAGGTAAGGTGGATAAGTGTGATTATGAAAGGGAGAAGATGTGAGGGGGCAGTAGGAGATATTACTATAAACTTATGTTAATTATTTATTACTAGCTCTAGTTCTAAATATAAAAAGTAGTTTGTATTATAAAAATTTAGTTTGTAATGTATTACACTATAAATAACTCTCATATTTAAGACCGGAGGAGGTAGTATTAATTTATAATATTAATAAAAAATAAAAAAAATTATTAAAAAATCTTAGTTAGGAGCAAATGTAGATGTTTGAAGATACTAACAAATTTTTGACAGAACAAGGTAATGGAATTTAAAGTAATAAGTTTAACCTATTGTATAAGTAGAACAATAAGTTTTCAATTAAAAGATTAAATGAAACTTATTGAGGCCATTAATATAAACATAATCATAAATAATTATTTTAATATTTTTTATAAATGATATCAAAAAAATGAGTAAAATACATCAACCCCCTCTATTTAACTTAAATTACTGAGACTTTTCTTTTATTTTCAAAACCTATATAGATCTTCCTTAAAATCAAAATATATGTTATACAAACTTTTCTTCTAGTTTTAAAATTCAACTTCCATTCACCCAACAATTAGTTGACGATAAAATCATCAGCTTGATTCGTTATTTTGATTAAAATGCCCCCTTTAACGTTATCATATAATAACATGATTTATCTTTACATGAAATTAAAAAATAATTTTAATACGTATTTTACTATTTTTTGTTGTACTATTACCATATTATAAATTCAATTAATTTTATAAATACAAATTTTTATTTTACAATAAAATTAAATGTTTAATCTTGTTTATTTATTCAAACTTACTTGTGATGTAATTTTTTAAATACTACCTCTAGTTTTTAATATAAGAGCTTATTTGATTTTTATTTTGGTCATAAATATAAAATTTTACTTTGTCATTCATATTTATCTATTTTTTTCTCAAGATAATCCTTCTAATAATAGTAATTCTACCCAATACACTTAATTAACAAGGATATTTTAAGAAAAATAACACTTATTTATTACAAATAATTAACTTAACTAACTTTCTTAATTTATTTAAATTAGTCATCTAGTTCTTATATTAAGAACTGGAGGTAGATTATATTAGCTGAAAATGTTTTGTAGTTCTATATATGTATTTTCAATTAAATTATAAAATTATGTCTCAATTTAGTAAATTTAGTAAAAAAATATTAAATATATTATTAATAAATATTAATATTAAAAGATAAACTAGAGATTTAATATAATGAGAGATACAATAGTAAACAAGATTTAGATGATATTTGGATAGAAATCAAACTGTGATTTTAAAAATAATTTTACAATATACAAAATAAATGTGTAAGAAAAATTTTGTCTTGACTTGCGTAAAAATATTTTTTAAAAATAATTTTGAAAAAACCAAACACTCCCTTATTCTAATATGTTTTTCTAACTAAAAATATACTTAGAATATTCTTTAATGATGTTAATGATTTTAACTAAATTTTATGTTATCAAAATAAAAAAAAATGATTCGTGTAATTAAGACAAAATAGAAAAGTAGTGAAAATATTTTACTCAAAAATCAATTATTTTATTATCATTTCAAATGAAGGGTGTTAAAGTGATCTATTCTTCACTTCTTCCTATCACTTTATCATTTTCATCTTATCACAAATTTTTCTATCAACATTTTTCATTACAATGCATACCACATATCAAATAAGTCAAAGTTTTTCTATTGTCTTCTTTCTCATTTTTTTTTTCATTATAATTAATTCTTCCTACCAAACGGCCCATACAATGTGCTTTCATATTACACGAGCCAAAAATTGTCCAGATCCTCGTCGCTGTTGCATGTTAGTAACTGGATGATATATTCAAGATTTTCTGGTTAAGATATTGGACATCAAACTATATGAATAACTTACAAAAACTCTTATTCAACAATGCTAAGATGTTCTGAAAAGATATCACTTTGCGAAAAGATAAAACCATGCAAGCAAAAGGGGGGAAAAACAATGGAAGCCAGCCTACTTCTTTGTCTTGGCTGTAAATACCTGTAAATATAATCTGCCTATTAAGAACACCACAATTTGTCTATGGGGGAAAAATGCTCTTGTCCCTGTGGCAGGAGATTTTACTCGGCATGATCTAAATAAAAGAATATATTCAGAAAACAAATCAGGAGATCAAAACTGGGTGAGCCTAGTTTTACTCCAAATGAACTACTATGCCTAAAATGCTAAAGGATCAAAATTAAGTATTCACAAAGAAACACAGGAAATAGAACTGTCTGCCATCACCCAAGGCATGTTTGAAAGACACCAAAAATTAAACCAATATAGTGATAACTCTGATTTAATAATAAATGCTTAATTCAAAACTCTTATTTATTTATTTATTTTCCTTTAAAAAAAAAAACAAAATTTTATATGCTTGATACAATTAAAGGAGTTGATTTTATTTCACTCATAGGTAAAGAATAAGTGGAATAACACAACTTCTTTTTTAATCAAAATACATAAATAATTTATTTCAATTGTTGAAAAACAATAAATATTAAATTGAAACGTATTGACAAAAGCACCAACAGATCAAGCAGTAAGAATGAATATTCTATATAAGAAAGATTTAGAAGCGTTAACGTTGCATTCGAGAGGAAGACCTTGAGGGAATCGATTGAGATCAGTGCAATTGTTATAGATCATGAAGCTCAATGCTTTACACTTCAGAATCAGAGACTGAGTATGATGAAGAGGAAGACATAAAATCTGTGACATTTGAAGTTGCCATAATAAGCTGTGAAAGGATCTCTAGAGATTCCAATAACTAGAGTTTTTCAAGACATAAGATTTTATAGATTAGATATGAAAACAAACTACAGAAGTTACCAACAGATAATTGTTCCTCCATAACCATAAACTCGCGAAGGAAAGAGAGAAATCTTTCCAGAATTTGTAGCTTCAACAACCGAGCATTTTCACAATATTTTCCTGCGCAGTTCAACTTCATCAAATCATTGAGAACTTGTCTATGATTCCCTCCAGCATATGTTTGAGGAATAGCATAGTCAGCATGCAGAAAAAGTCAGATGTAAAGTCAAAATTGTTAAAATTAACTCTAAATTAACAAAATGTCAGCATTAATTTCAGTCACCTTCCTCTCTGTCCTCCTCAATCCAAGTATATTCCATAGTACCCAAAGGCTCCAGCATAAAAGCGTGTGAAACAGAACACGATGATTATTATCATGCAGAAGCATCTTCCAGATGGTGGCCCTTGTAAGCCAGCAGTAAAGCCTCTTCATTATCTCTAAACTAGGAAATATACTTTTCCAAGAATTTCTCCTCCCGCATATGAAGCACCCGAAGAAAACTTGGATTATTCATAAGTAAATTTTTTGAGATTAGAAGTTTCAGTACCCTCCATCGAGGAATCACCCTTTTCTCCATGTTTAACATCAAAATCACAGGGTTATTAACCAGTAGTGACTTAGGCAGCATAATTTTATCCAAGAACACTTCAATTTTAAACTTTAGCCTCGTCTCAGATCTGCCAAGTAACCCTGGAGTTCTTCTAAACATTTGCATGGCCTCATCTCTGGAAAACCCGCAGCTCTGAATTATTTCCAACTTTCTGTTAAACTTGACAATGCTCATACTACTAATTGTCCGGAGCCCATGTACCAACATTCGCGAGTTTACGGAGAAACCCAAGTTTACAGCCCGTGAAACATAGTTTCTAACCAGGGATTCTCGCATTGCAAAAAGGCGAGCGTTTTTCTTTATTAAAAATGAAAGTTGAGAACCAACGATCCCACAACTCTTGAAGAAAGCAGCATTGTCCAAAACCCTTTGTTGCCTTGGAATTATCCACTCCGCATATCTTTGAAGCACCTTAATTAAATCTTTCTTGTTATTCACAATCTGCCTTACACATTTCACAGAGGGCACCAAAGTTTTATTCAAACTACAACCCAAAAGAATTCCATTCTTTGAGAGAAGCTCACCCAACTCAGGACCATGAAACCCTAGAAGCTGAAAGTACTCAATTTTTGGCTGCAGGGTTTTATCCACACGGGAGAACAATAATTGGGGTCGACGACTAATGATAGATTGAATATGCGATTCAGAAAGTCCAATCTGTTTAAAATAATTAAGCACGGTCCACGGATGTTGAGGCCACCTAGCCTTAGAGAGTCGTTTTGAGATATAGACCGATTGAGCTTTAGAGAATTTGAAGTTGGTGCTTAGATGATCAATGATGGAAATGTGTTTGGGAAAGGCTTGAGTTGGAAAAGAAACAACAGTAGAGAACAGAGGGAGAAAGGATCTGGACGAATTACTCAGAGAATATGAAAGTGCAGGTTTCAATTTAAGAAAATGCTTTGCTCCAAAACGATGCAAACTCATTAACGGGAAATGCCCCATTTCACGGTTTCAGTTTTCTCATGAATTTGAAGCAGGTCTAAATGGCGAGAAGAAAGAGAAGATCCACATCCTCATTCAAGCATTCGACATACCTGAAAGAGGGAATAGAGTCGGAGCTTCCACGGAAACAAGACGCTAGCTTGTGTTGCAGTGCGAAGTGCCTCGGCGATTTGGCGCTGCAACGACTTCGGCCGTCGGGAAGACGCGTGAGAGGCGAACGGCTGCTCTCCGCGGCATTCTTCTACCCGAAACAATGTCATTTTTGATGGGAAGGGTAGGGAAACGAGGGAAAGGTGAGGTGCTTTAATCTCGTTAAAACTGGTAATATAGGTTGAGTTTGTAGACCCATCAACGGGTCAAAAATGACGAGTTAGGATTGGTCAAAAGTCAATCAGTAAACGAGTTTTTTTAACCCGTGCCGCTAGACTTACAACCCGTCACAAGTTAGTCTGCAAACTCGCTGGCTAACCTGTATTTATTTTTTAAAATTTTTTAATTATTATAATTATATTATTATATATTATATCCTATCTAAAAAATTAAAAAAATACTTATATAATTTATTTGATGCTTTCAATCAAATATTTTAAAGAAAACAAAAAATTTATTATTTTTTGGGTTAATTAATCCGCAAGTCCTTATAGTTTCAACGAATTTTGAATCAGGTCCCTATAGTTTTTTTTCTTTTTATCAGGTCCTTATAGTTTTTTTTCCTTTTTATCAGGTCCTTATACTTTTACCTTTTTTTAATTAGGTCCTTGTATTTATTTTTCTTTTAATTAAGTCCTTATAATTTCACTAAATTTTTAATCAGGTCTATGTAGTTTTAATTTTTATTTATTAATTAAATATAAGCTTAATTAAATAGATTAATACTAAAATATAAAATATTAATAATTAAATTAAATTAATAATTATGTAATAAAATAGTAATAGAATTAATTAATTCAGGAAAATTTTTTAGAACAATTAATTTTTTTGCTGAAAAAATTAAAATTATTATAATAATTCAATATCTTTAGAATATTATTGTTTATAAACTAATATTAAATAATATATACTATTTTATGTTTATATAATAATACTATTAGAATTTATAAAATAAAAATAAAAAATTCAGGGACTTAATTAAAAATAAGGTGAACTTATAAGGACTTGATAAAAAAAAAAATACAAGGACCTAATTAAAAACAAGTGAAAGTATAAGGACCTGATAAAAAGAAAAAAAACTATAAGGAGCTGATTCAAAATTAGTTGAAACTATAAGGAGCTGCGGATTAATTATTCCTTATTTTTTTATATATTGTATAAAAAATATTAAAAAGTAAAAAAAAATTCAAAAAAAAAAAAACAAGTGTTAACGGGTCAACCCACCCACCCAACTTGGTAGGTTAGGGTTGGCTAAAAGCCAACCCACTTTCAAACAAGTTTTTTCAGCCCGACTCGTCGTGGGCTTAACCCGTCACGAGCCAACCTGCAACCCACTGATTGACTCATATTACTAGTCCTAATCTTTGTCTTGTTTGGTTTAATTAAAAGGGAGGGAACAAAGGGAGAGATGTTTAATGATCTCTTATTTGGCTTAAGAAAGAGAGGAGAGAGATAGTAATAATCAATTTACTATTTTACCCTTACATATTAATTTATATTTTTTATTGATACATTATATAAATTAAGTTACATCTTAATTTAAATTATATAATTTAATAAAAATTCAGTCTTATCATGTTAATATGTGTATTAAAAAATTGGTATATTATTTTTTAAATTCTAATTAATATAATAATATATTTGAAATAATCAAATTAACAAATTTTATATGCTCTAAAAAAATTGAAATTTTATCCTCTTTAGGCTATGCTTTTTCCAGCTTTAAAATATATTTAATAAATAATCTATTCATAAAAAACAATTAATTTTATAATATTATAATTTTTTATTTAAATAATTTTTATTTTTAATTGATTTTTATTATAATATATTTTTAATTATAATAAATTATATTTTTTTATTTTTTACTTAGGATAATATATTTTTATTTGAAATAAATATTATAATAATATATTTTATGAGTAGTAGTGAAATATAAAAAAAATATAAGCATATGATGGTCTAAAAATTTAGCTTCCTTCCAAAAATCTCCAATTTGGGGAGAGCTAACATGGGGGTGAGGGAAGGGAGGAGAGGGAACATTTTGGCCTCCCTTCCCTCTAAAATTTTTAACCGAATAAGGGAAGAGACTCACTCCCCCAGCCTCCCGCACCCTTCCCTCCAACCAAACAAGTCCTAAAGCGGGCTTAGGGGCCGTTTGGTACAAGGAAAATGAAGGCGAGGGAAAGTGGAGAGAAAATTTGAAATGAAGTAAATTTTTTTAATTAATTTTTAGGCTAAATTATCCATTTGATCCTTTGTAGAAGATTTTAATTTAATTCATTAACTTTAAAAAACATACATTTGGTCTTTTAACCCTAAAATCATTAGGCTTCAATGATAGTTTTTTATAACAATCATATATGTTTTAAAAAGTAAACTTAATATGTTAGTATTTAAGAATATTTTATTAATATTTAAGATCTTAATCTTATCATTTTTTTAAAAGAATGTTGGAGTTAAAAGATTAAAAGTATACTTTTTAAAATTAAAGAATCAAATTGAAATCTTGTATAAAGTTAAAGAACCAAATATATACTTTAGCTTAATTTTTATTACTCTTTTGTAATTTTTTTATTTAAATTTTAAAATCGACACTTTTTAAATTTTTTTTAAATGAAGCTCGTTGAAATTGTTTTTTGTCCTCCCTTTCCTTCCATTTCTTTTTTTTTTTGGGTGATACTTCGCTCCTCTCTATTTTCCTCATGCCAAATAGTACTTTAATATTTTCTTAAAATAATATTTAGTATTTTTAAGTATTTTTTCAAGGGTAGCCAATACACTAAAATAATTTTTGATACACTCATTATTCTAAAATATTTTATGTCGGAAACGTGCATCCAGTATTCTAAAATAATTTTTTATACACTCAGCACCTTAAAATATATTTAGCAACACCTTGTAGTATCCTAAAATGAATTCAGATTCCAGTATCACCCAATATTTTTCTGAGTAGCAACAAATATCCTAAACTTAGGATACTAAATGCTATTCCCAAAAAACAATTATGATGCTAGATACATCAAAAATTATTTTAGGATATTATATATTAATGAACAAATATTTTATGGTGCATAGTGCATCAAAAATTATTTTAGGACACGGGATGGGTGCTTCTTAAAAAATATTTTAGAGTGCTGAATGTATGAAAAATTATTCTAGAATATTGTGTGCTCTTGGAAAAAAAAATACTCCTCCAATCCTTAATATAGGACCCAATTGTTGAGTTGGTTTTTTGGTCTTTAAATTACCCTTATAGATACTCCCTCAACTATAATTAAGTAAAAGAGAGAAAGGAGGTATTAAGAAAGATAATTATAGTGTTTTAGAAAAAATGTGTCACATTTCTTATAATTAACTATTTTACTGAACTTCCTTAATCTAATCAAATTAGTTAAATGAGTTTTATATTAAGAATCGGAGGAGTACTTCAAGATGCATGCTACTAAAAAACGGGTTAATATAATTTTTGGTGTCTTAAGTTTGTCTTCATTTTGATTTTCATCATTCAAGTTTCAGATCACAGGCATTGACCTATAGAGAGGCAAAATAGTCTAAGTGTTTATAGAATTATAAAGACCAATGTTTTTTTATTTGATTATGGATATTTCCTTTCGAGGCTTAAAGTGTAAAGAGTTTTTTTGTCTCCCCCCAACAAGTGCACTTTCTAGGATTTAAACATCTGTTGTCTTTTTTATTGGGTGAAACTACTTACCATCCCAATCAATAACTTGTTCACAAGATCAAGATTTGAAGAAAAACTTGAAAGGCAAAATCTATCATCAACAAACTTGTCATTTTTTGCCAAAGGAAACCCTAACCTATTCTGTTTTGCATACACACATATATGATATTGGTTTTAACAGAAGGACACATGCGTGTAAAGACAAAAAAAGTGTGTGTGTAATTTTTAAAAAAGTACTATTCATAAATCATAGTTATTTGTAACTCATCTTTAAAACCATGTGTGCTATTGGTTGAAATAGTAATTATGCAGTGTCAACCCATAAGGAGAAGAGCATATATTCGAATCCCAGAAAGCATACCTGTTAGGCACTAAAAAAAAAACAGGACATTAGTGACAGAATTTAGCGACGGAATTTTATTTCGTCACTAATCCCTCACAAATTCCGTCATTAAAATTAGCAATAGAATTTAATGATAAACAATTTTCTTCGCTAAATTAGTGAAGGATTAGTGACAGAATTTTATTCTGTCACTAAATTCTGTCACAAGTTCGTTGCTAATTTTGTTTTAAATTATTAGTAACGGAAATTAGTGACAAAAAATTCTGTCACTAATTTCTGTCACTAATCCGTCACTAACTCTCATTTTGTGATGTAACTTTTTCGTCACTAATTTCTGTCGCAATTTTGTCACTAATCCGTTGCAAAAAATATAATATAAATATATAATAATTATTTTTTAAACTTATTATTAAAATAAAATAGAGATTAGTGTTAATCTCTATTTTGTCACCTCCTACGGAATAGAAAATTTCTATCACTAATTTTTGTTGCTAATCCATCAATAATCTGTCGTTAATTAATGACGGAATTTTGAATTCCGTAGTGACAGTGGAATTAGTGACGGAAAAAATTTCTTTACTAATTCCGTCACTAATCCATTGCTAATTTTGATTAGTGACGGAAATTCGGTCACTAAATTCCATCGCTAATTTGATTTTTTTTTTTTAGTAAGGGAAGCTTTAACCTTAACACTCCAGGTCTAATAGAAATTAGTCTCAGACCTAAAATGACTTGAGAATACTCTCACTTGTACCCAAAAAAACAAAATACTAAATGTTATTAAATTAGAAACATGGGATGTAGGAATTAGAAAGGATTTTGTATTATAATTACAATGGATCTCCAATGTCCCAAACAGAAATATTTTTTCCAAAAAAGTCATCCATCACACTTATTAAATTATTTTGGGTTAATATAAATTTTAGTCTCTAAAATTTGGACATATTTTGATTTTGATCTATCAAATTTTAAACGTATAGTTTTAATTCATGAAATTTAATCTGTGTTAAAATGTTAGTCCCTAGAGTCATAACGGTATTAAAATATCCCGAAGTATCATAAATGACATTAAAGTGGTGATGTAAACTCACCATATGGCATTTAGCTAAATCTTTTGTGTTCTATGGATAATAGAAAAAAAGCCCGAAGAACATGTTCTCAAAATGTAGTTACTTAGCCCCCCCTTTTTTTTTTCGTCATTGTTAGTTTGAGGAGTTATTCACTGCATTGTATTTTGAGAACTCATTCCTTTCTATATAATTTGTTAACCATATAAGATTCAGTTAAGTGTCATTTGATGAGTTTACATCACCACTTTAATACCATTTATGAAATTTCACCAGATTTCAGTATTATCACACCTCTAGAAATTAACATTTTAAGATGGATTAAATTTTAGAGATTAAAATTATGAGTTTAAAATTTAAAGAATTAGAACCATAATAGACTGAAGTTTTAGAGGAAAAAAATTATACTAACCCATTTTTTTTCCCTACCGATCTCAAATACACAATTTAGAAGTGTGTCTTTCGTATCTATGCCGCTACGTAAAGGGAGCAGTTATTCACATTCAAATTATTGATTCCATATTTTGTTGCTAATAATCCAAGTGCCAAATATTTAATTACTTCTTCATACATAATGAGGAAGAAAAAAATAGGAATTCGGACATAATCAACTCAAGCAATCCAGGCGATAAACACAATACCAACCACATATATAGGATAAAATTTTATTTATTCCCTCATAGGTACATAATACATAAATTTATTTCGCTTCATGAAAAAGAATAATTATTAAATCGAAACATATTGACAAAAAGCATCAACAAATTAAGCAGTAAATGTGAGAGACTTAGAAGCGGGAACGTTTGCATTCAGGAGGAAGGCCTTGAGGGAATCGTTTGAGATCGGTGCAATAGTCATAGATCATGAAGTACTTCTGCGCCCATCTCAGTCTTCTTCTGCCATTAGCATCAATCTCATTGCTTTGCACTTTAGAATCAGAGAACGAGTCTGAGGAAGAAGACGAAGAAATGAGATCTGTGGCTTTGAAGTTGCGATAATAAGCTGTGAAAGGAGCCTTAGACCAATCTGTTTTAACCAAACCACCTCTGGTGGCCCAGTCATCAGCATTCCAGAGGCTCGAATACATCCTCATGGCTTGGTCCTTAGGGAAGGGAACGCCTTTAGACTCCTCGTTCTCAAAAACCCTAATGGGAATATTATCTACCAAGAATCTGCAGTTAACATAATGTAAATCAAAGATGAAACATAAATATATATATATAGGTAAATATTAATACATGAATTTATGGTTTTGTGGGACTTTACATAATGTGTTGTGGCTTCCAGACAATAGAGTATTTGTGGAAGTTTCTGGTAGGATCGAACCAGAGATAGAATTGCTGCTCTCTGTTGCCTTTGCCTTGAGCGAAGACGTTGGTATGAAGAATATAAGGATCCCCACTTACATTTCCCAAGAACTCAAAGTCAATCTCGTCATGATTTGGTCCTTCTGAAGACAACTACACACACACGAATAAAATCAAGTCAGCACACATTATAAGTGACGAAGTTAATTGAAGGATATTATTTGTATATGAAACATACGTAGAAAGTGGTAACGGTGCCAGCAGAATTGCCAGAAACAAGCTTGATGTCCATATCGATCCTCCCAAAAAGGAACTGCTTCTTGGATTGGAAGCCAGAGCCAGAGAATTTATCCAGAGAAAGAGTTAGAAGCTGGCCTCCATTGAGTACCTTCCCACGATCACCACCCCATGTCAGTTCTGTGTCTTGGAAGAAGTTTGCAGCACATGAAGCCGCCATGGAACTCATCATCACCATCCCAAGCACCATACCCACGTAAAACCCTTTACCAGTAGTACCAGCCATCTTCGCTTTAGAGAGAGAGAGAGATAGAGATTGTGTTTTGATTAGCTGATGTGTGAGAGATTATTGTAGATGTAGAGTGTATAAATAGTTATAGGAAAGGAAGGAAGACGCGTTTGAAAGCTTAGTGCCAGCTCTAATTAGCAAGCTATCAAAGTTGGGGGCTTCTATTATTTGTTTATTATTACTTCATTTTCTGAAAGGTATTATTACTTCGTTTTGAGTTCATGGAGGTCTGTGAACAATGATTAATAATATACATATAATATTTGGACCTTGACCCTATTGACATGTGATTTTGGAACATACCCAAAATAAAATTGAGAAGAAAAATGAATTGCGCGTATAGATGCCAACTGGGTTTGGTATTTGTAGGTAGAAAGAATAATAATGCTATGAATTGAAGCTATGTACCGCCAACTTATCGTAGGTAGAAAGAATAATATAATGCCATGAAGCCAGTAGGTACAAGCAGACAATCTAGAAATTTATTTATTTTTTAAAAATCAGTTTCTATATTTTTTTAATTTATTTAATGTGGAAAGTTTTATTGACCAAAAGAATATATATATTTTATTGATAGATTAAATTCTGGTCATTTGAAGATCTTCGACAATTAACATGTTAAGTAAAGTGATGTCCAATTTTAATTTTCAATTTTGGTCACTTCTTTCAAAAATTTCTCTGCAGATAAAAGCAATCAACGAAGTTGATATTTTTCCTCTTCTCTTTATAATTAGTTATATAAAATTCAGTTTTCCTGTTTTTCATGTTCAAGAAAGTGCATTTCCGTCCAAAAAAATTGAGGAATAATATATAGGGAAAATTAGTCTTTTGGCCCATTGACTTTTAATCCACTTATAATTCCGTTCCTAAGGTATAACTCAGTCTTGCTCAATTCCTAAATTTTCAATTTGCTTAAAACTCAGTCCTTATCTTTTTATTTGTTTTTTTAAGAAAATAATCCTCATCACCCAACTCAATTAGTACACCTATATGTAAATTAATATAAGTGATGATGTGGCTGCCAAGTTACCATCTTCATCATCACCTACCTCCCTGTGTCTCATCAAGGCCGATACTCTTTGTGGGAGTTCAGTATCAACGTGAAAGGATCAAACAAAATCCTTTGGATAACTTCCATGCTTTTCCCTATATGCACGGACGTTTGCCCTTTATTGGGAACAAAATTAAAATAGCAAAAAGCAAAAGGAATTATGCATTTACCAAGATACTGAGTATGGCATTATATACGTGTGGAAAGAATAATGTCATCATGAAGCTACGTATGTCGCCTCAGTATGTCAAAAATTCATTTTCATAACTGCATATAGGATATAGTACAAATAGTATAGGAGAAATAATTTTTGCGTCTGTTATTAAGGAACAAACACTGTAATTCAACCAATTACTTTGTTATTGGCATGTTTTGGGAAAAAAAATCGGACAATTACTGGAATTTTTTTTAAAAATTATTTCTTAATTAAATATTATTTAACCCCTTAACTTTGAAAGGTATATTTAATCCTTTAATCCTCAAATTATTAGTCTTAAATGATATTTTTTACGACAATTATAGTTATTTTAAAAATTAAACTTAATATGTTAGTATTTAAAAATGTTCTGTCCATACTCAATATCTCATGTTATTATTTTTGGTTAATAATTTTAGGATTAAATGACTAAAAATATATTTTTTAAAATTAAGGCAAACAAGATTGCGGATTCTGAAATGCTAGTCAAACATCAAGAAGCCTTACCCCATTCTTAGCACTCCTAAAATCAGTTTTATGGAAATATCTTAAGAATTTTGCACTCATGAAGATTTTGAAGAACTCTCCAAGCTGATTTGGCAAGAATAGCTTTATCAAAAGCTTGAAAATGTCTGAAACCCATATCACCATCCTTTTTACTGTACTACTGGTCAATATCTCCCATTTCCTCCGATGAATTGAATTCGCGCGTGCCTCCTCTTTCTCACTTTGTCCCCACCTAAAATTGGAGACAAATATCTTTGCATCATTTCTAAGGCAAGGAGAAAACCGACATCGGTTATGCAAGAATTGAATTTGCCATAGCCTTGATTAACACCTCTTTCCCTGCAAATGTTAGCAATTGGCGCTTCTAGCCTTGAAGTTTCTTAGTCATCTTACTTTTCACAAAATTAAGAGCAGTAACTTTAGATCCTGTTTGGTATAAAGTATTGAAAATAAGAATAAGAATTGGGATTATAATTAAAAATCTATATTAAAAGAATGTTTAGTATGAGTTGTCAGAGAATTAATACTTGTTATTAAGTTAGAAACTAATTTCTGTTATGTATATTTCTGTTATGTATTGGTTGATTATATAAATACTTGATTAAGCAAGTAATGAAAGTGAGATATTCATTTTCCCCATTCATTCAGTATCATGGTATCCAAAGCCTAAACACACTCTCTCTCTGTTTTTTTCCCCCTTCTTTTCTTCCTTTTTTTTCTCTCTTTGCCCTTTGCCCTATTCTATCTTTTTTCTTCTCTTTGAGCTTCCATGGCGACTCTACCATCTCTGAATCTATCACTTCTCCTTCGATTGATCAAAACAGCCCTTACTATATACATCCCAATGAAAGTCCCGCTCTAATTTTAGTTGCACCGTTGCTTGATGGCTCGAATTACCACACCTGGGCACGAGCGATGCAAATGGCGTTACTATCCAAGAGCAAACCCAAATTCATCAATGGATCTCTTTCTCCCCCTTCTACTTTCAATTTGATGTTTTCGTATTGGGAGCATTGTAACAACCTCGGGCAAGGCTAGATCACCAAATCACTCTCTCCTACTATCTGAAGAGTATTCTTTGGTTTGATCACACTTCCAACATCTGGACTGATCTCCACTCTCATTACTCTTAGTATGATATATTTCGCATTACCGACCTCTAGGAGGAAATACATAGTCTGAAACAAGGAAATTTGAGCGTTACTGAGTATTATACTAGGCTCAAGATTCTTTGGGATGAACTTTCCAGTATATGTCCAACCAAGCCATGTGCATGTGACTCTGGTGGATCTGCTGCTAAACAGAGACAGGAGGACTACATCATCAGATTTCTTAAAGGCCTCAATGAGCAATATGCTTCTATCAAATCTCATCTTATGATGTTGGATCCCTTGCCTCCCATTAATAAAGCCTTGTCTCTTGTATTGCAACAAGAACATGAATTTCATATTACACCTAAGTCCAAGATTATGCTTGCCAAGGCTCCATGACCTTCTCTTCTCAGTTCTTTCTTTGGTTCCAAACCGAGCACCACCAAACAATGCACTTACTGTGGAAAACCAAGACATTCTGAAGAAACATGCTATAAAAAGCATGGTTTTCCACCAGGCTTCAAGTTTCGCAATGGTTCCCCTGCCAAAGTGAATAATTTTTTGACTCAAGATTCTGCCTCTATTCAAGAAATTCATACTGGTAAGCCTCTTCCTCCATATACATCAACACAAACAACATCCATTCTCCCTCAACTTTCATCTAAGCAATATCAACACCTTTTAACACTCTTAAGTCCTTCTCAACCTTCCACCTGTGCCTCTGTTAATCATTTTTCCACCTCTATTTTCTTAGTTAAAGGTAATTGTCAATCATTTTCTTCTCAACATTCTAGTACTTGGATAATCGATTCTGGTGCTACTGATTATGTCTGCTTTTCTTTGGATTTATTTTCTTCTTATCAATCTATTTCACCCATTTCTGTGAGTCTTCCTACTGATTCTCATTCTATAGCTTCTATTTCAAGTACTATTGTTCTTTCTTCTACTTTGGTCTTGCATAACATTTTCTGTCTTCCGAATTTTGCTTTCAACATTATCTTAGTTTCTCATTTAACCTTTTCCCTTTGTTGTTTTCTAATTTTCTATTCTCACTCATGTCAAATACACTTGCTCCAACCTTCACTGATGATTGGTACAACTAAAATTTTCAAAGGGCTTTATCTTCTAAATGCAGATATGCTTCCATCCTTTCCTACTTCTCAGGTTCATCAAGCCACTACAAAATCAGAATCAACCTTTAATCTTTGGCATCTCTGCCTTGGTCATCTCTCCAATTCAACCTTATCTATTTTACATAAGAAAATTTATGACATTACTTGTACTCCCTATTCCCTTGTTTGTGACACTTGTCATTTTTCCAAACAAAAATGATTATCTTTTCCTGTAAGCTCCAATATAAGCAATAAGATTTTTTATTTGATTCTTGTAGACATTTAGGGACCCTTCTCTGTCCCCTCTATTCAAGGACATAAGTACTTCCTTACAATTGTTGATGACTACTCCCAATTTACCTAGCTATTTTTATTGGAATTTGAATCTGATGCTAGAACACAACTTAAAAATTTTCTTGCTCTCATTGAAAAACAATTGCTGCCACTATTAAAGTTTTATGTTCTGATAATGGACCAAAGTTTTCTATGCCTGATTACTATGCTTCTAAAGGAATTTCACACTAAACATCCTGTGTTGAGACTCCTTAACAAAATGGTCTTGTAGAGAAGAAGTATCAACACATTTTAAACGTTGCTCGTGCTTTGTTATTTCAATCTAACATACCTATTACTTATTTGTCATTTGTTGTTATGCATGCTACTTTTACCATCAATTGTTTGCCTTGTCCTATACTTCATAATTTCACACCCTATGAAAAGTTATACAACACTAAACCTTCATATTCTGATTTTAAAGTTTTTAGATCATTGTGTTTTGCATCTACATTGTCCAGTCATAGGTTAAATTTTGATTCAAGAGCTAGAAAATGTATTTTTCTTGTTTTCCCTCTGGAGCAAAAGCTTACATTTTATTAGACTTGGTTACAAATCAAATTTTTTGGTCCAGGGATGTTCTTTTTCATGAGTTGATTTTTCCCTCCAAACTTGACAAGGTCACTCCCCTTTCCTCACCTACCAATTCTCCCTCTGATCCTACAATTCAAGACCTTCCTAATTTTTTGGATGATGTCAATAGTATC